CGAAGACCATTCGATCAACCGCCCCCTGTTGACTTATCACAAGGGGTGCCTGGTGTGCTAGACCCTGTACGGCTTGGTTTTGGTCAGTTGTCACTAGAACTCCCCCTGGGCCTTCGGCGACTGACTGCCGATGGCCACGTGAAGGCCGCTGGGCTGCACAACGAACGTCTCCAAGACGGCCAAGATGGCAGCCGAAATGGCCCAAGATGGCCTCTAATTTCGCCCAGCCCAGGATGGTCCACGGTGGCCTCCAAGACGGCCCACGAGGGTTCTAAATACCTCCCAGTCCGCCCAAGACGGACCAAGACGGCTCCAAGGTGAACAAAGTCGGCCCAAAAAGGCCCCTAACAGATCTCCAAGACGGCCTAAGAGGCGTCCAAGAGGGCCTCCAGGAAGGCCCGAAGAGGCCAACATCACTGATGTCACTCCCTTAGATGGTTGACGGATTTTGACATTCAACTATGTTCGGCCTTCCGACGGCTCGGGACGGCCCAAGAGCCTGCAACTATCAACCCAAAATGTCCCCAAAGGTTTCCTAGATGACCCCAGAACGGCCCAACAACCCCCCTATGACCCCAGAGCGGCCCAACATGGCCCCAAAACGGCCCAAGAGGCCTCCAAGACGCCCGCCTCCAAGATGGCCCTGGAGCACCCCAAGAGGGCCCCAAGTCGACCCGGGCCCCGAGACGGTTTCCGACGGCGTCCGACGGGCCAGGCATGCCCTAAAACTGCCAAGCGTGCCCCAGCAACTCAAGTCTGGCCGAGGAGCCTATAGAGGCACCTCGCTGCGCAGGCGGACGCGGAAGGCGTGAGACACTACGACGCCCTATCGCGAATGCGAAAGAAACGTGGCGGATAGGGCAATACTGAAACACATAGATTAGAATCCGCCGATCCGGCGTGTGAGTTTCAAAAACTCTCAGAACAGCCCGAACCTCAATTCCTGAGTTCCAGCTTTACTGGCTGGGGTGGCTCTGCCGGGGCAGGGGGAGGGGGGGGATTTAATTCCCAAGGCTCGGGACTCCAGCTCACTCCGGGGCGGCCCCCTCGCCCAGGCCCAACATGGGCCAAGAGGGCCCCGAGTCGCCGAACGATCGCCACAAGGCGCTCACGCGCGCGCTGGAGGTTGAGGCTGCAGCGCTCCACCTGCGCCCTCGCCTGCTCCCACTTGGCCGAGGCGTCGCGCCAAGCCCCCGCCGCCAAGCGCACCGCCTCCTCGGCGGGAGCACTCTTCGGCGAGGCCGCCGCGGCGCGCGCCTGCTCGACCTGCTGCTCCAGGAGGACCCACACCGATGGTTCCTGCACGACGTTGAGCGCAGCCTCGAGCTTGGCGATGGTGTCGTTGGCTGGACCCACGGCCCCGCGGAGAGCAGCCGCACCGCCACCCTGTCCGCCGCTCTGGTTCTGCCCCAACGGCGGCTTGAACAAGGTGAGCTTGGTGCTGCACTTGCTGCACTTCGAGCCCTGGGAGACGAGGATGCGGTTCCATTCGCACTTGCCACACTGATGGCACTTCGTCCAAGGGTCCGTAGCCGATGTGGCACCAGACGTTTGCTGCTGCACAGGGGCTTTCTTGTTGCCCTTGGCCATTGCTCACCACTAACTGCGTCCTTTTAGCCAACTCGTGCACTGACCGAAAACAGTAGGGAGAGTGGTCAGCCACGAGTGCCACTCAAGCACCACGTATGAGGCGGACGCCTTTGCCCAGGCAAAGTGCTTGGGCCAAAGTGGCTTGAGGAGAGGGGGGGGGGGACAGGAGAGAGGGAGGGGGAGGGGAAAGGAGAGAGGGGGGGGAGGGGACAGGAGAAAGGGGGGGGGGACAGGAGAGATGAGGGGGGTTGGCTTGGTGCCGGGATCATCACCATCTCCATCACCGTCACAATTGCCATCGTCTCATCATCATCATCATCATCATCATCATCATCATCATCATCACCATCATCACCATCATCACCATCACCATCACCATCACCATCACCATCATAATCATAATCATAATCATAATCATAATCATAATCATAATCATAATCATCATCATCATCATCATCATCATCATCACCATCACCATCACCATCATCATCATCATCATCATCATCATCATCATCATCATCATCATCATCATCATCATCATCATCATCCGGAGCACCCCGGATCGGCGGCACTGGCCGGAGGCCACTACAATATCTGGCATGTGATGCGTAAAATCGCTATGGACCTCCTCCTCCTCCTCCTCCTGATCTTCCCCGCCACCCTCCCCCAAGTGTTCACCGACGGGTTTCTACAACGGCTGGGGTCCGATAGCTTGGCAGAACTCTTTCCCCAACGCTCGGTCACATGGGCGATTCCAAACGGCAGGGGGAGGCGGTTATTCGGCGTAGGAGTCTTCGATGATCAAAACAACTCCAAAAAGCCGCCAAAAGGCGTCCAGGAAGCCCTCAGGAGCACCACGCATCAACCACCAGTCCCCACAGGGCTTGGCGGTGTGGCGTAAGCAGAAGAACCTCCACCCCTCTGAGGAGGGCCCTGCTGCGACGCACATCGCTGCCCAAACATGCGACGTCCTGATCTGTTCAATACGCTGTCCCCGGAATTCCCGACCCTTTCCCCGAGACTGGTTGTGCATCTCGAACCCTTGTTTGCCGGGCCCCGGGGCCCCGGGGAGGGCCCCGAGGGACCGACGAAAGCCTCCCGCCCTGATCTCTTGTTTTACGACGCCAGCATGTCTACGCGTGCGTCCTGGGAAGGAGCTGCCCTTCGGGGGGTGTCCCCCTACAGGGGGATTTCGAACGAGAAATTAAAACAATACCCCACAGACACCCCCAAAACAATCAGAAATGGTCAAACAAATCATCCCCAGACTATTCTTTGACTGTTTCGGACTATTCCTCCTGTAGAGGGACAGCCCGACTGAAAACTACCCCCCCCACCCCCCCAGAGAGCATGGCGCCACGGGGGCCGCACGGGCGTTCCCCGCAGGGTGGCCGCTCGCGGCGGCCGCGCGGCCCGGCGTCCGAGGGCCCCGCGTGATGTTCATGTCGGGCAGCAGCTTCTTCACCACGCCGTTCAGCACGCCCGCCGCCCTGGGCGCAGGGGGAGGGGGAGGCAGAGCCCAGAGTAGCACGACAAATTGTATACACTTCTCGATGTGTGCGTGTCATCCTTGCGCAGGGGCCATGCTAATTTTCCCTGCATCGTTCCAAGTTCAACGGATGATCCCCGAAGGGAATCCAAAGGAGGAGACAGAGAGAGAGAGAGAGAGCAAGAGAAAAAAAGAAACGCAGGGGGTGGTAGGGAACTACCTGCGTCAATATTTTGGGAGGGCCCCTCGGGGCGGAGGAGTGGGGGAGGAGGAAGGGGAAGGAAGATGGGGGAGGAAAATGGGGGAGGAAAGTGGAGGAGAAATGGGGAGGTGGAGGACGGAAGCCATGGGAAATGGGGGGAGGGACGGAGGTGGGGGAAAGGGGGAGGAGAAAGAGGAGGAAGGAGAGGACAGGAGGGGGAGGAGGAGGACCAGTCCAAACCCAAGACTCACCAAGAATGTTGCAAGGAGCACTCCCTCCAAGATCCCTCTGCGCAGGTCCCTACAAGGATGTATGTTCACTGAATGTCGTGTCCCGTTGGAAGACAACTGTCTGAAAATCTTGCACCGTTCCAAAACACCATTCCTGACACCTCAACGCCGCAAGTCGACGTTACCGCTGCGTCCTGACGATCCTGAATCGTTCCAGAATGTAACTCCTGGGACTTCAACACCGCGAATCAACTTAAGTGCTGCGCCCTGACAGTCCGACATCGCATGAGAACTGTCTGTTCTGGGGCGCCAACCAAAATAACCCTTGAAAGGAGCGCGGTGCCGAGGCGGGCAAAAGCAGTTTGGAAAGGGGCCATACTCCATCCGTTCAACGACTGCAGATGTTTGAAACCAGAGACTTCCTTTTACCGTGCACTCGCGCATTGAAGGCGGCTGATAGTCAAAATGTGGCCCTCGCCATAACGCTCGTCTTAAACATTTGCATGAGTTTTACGGATTGAGGGCGGGCCGAATTCACAATGTGGTTCTCGCTCCGACGCCGTGCACGTTCGTCTTAACATTTTGTAAGATGTAAGAGCTTCACGGATTGAGAGCGGGTCAAATAAAAAATGAAAATGTGGTTCCCGCCGTAGCGTCGCGCACATTCAAATGCAAAACATTTGCAAGAGCTTCACGGGTTGAGGGCGGGTGGTGTTAAAAATGTGGCTCCCGCCGTAGCGTCGCGCACATTGAAATGCGACACATTTGCAGAAACTTCAAGGATTGAGGGCGGGTTGGTTTCAAATCGTGGTTCTCGCGTGAGCGCCGCACACACTCGTCTTAAACATTTACAACAGCTTCACGGATTGAGGGTGGATCGTTTTCAAAGTGTGGTTCTCGCCTTAGCACCGCGCACATTCGTTTCACAAAATTGCAAGGATTTCATGGATGGGGGGCGACTCACTTTTAAAATGTGGCTCTCGCCTCAGCGACGCAAAACTCGCTTTAAGCATTTACAATACTTTCGCTGGTTCCAATGGTGAACGTGCCAGAAACAATGCGTTTGAAAGATTCAGGATTGGATGTTGATTCGAGGTGTTGTCCCAGGAATGGTATTTTGGCTGTTCTGGCGCTACTGAGAATCGTCAAGGCGCCAGGAATCAAGTTGACACGTGGCGTTGAACTCCAGAGAAAGGCGCTCTGGCACGCTTCAGGATCTCCAAGCGATCGTCTCCCAATGGGGAATGTCCCTAAGTGAAAATTAATACGTGTAGAGCGAGCTTGGAGGGAGGGTTTACACCAACATCGTTGTTAAGTCTTTGGTTCATGTACACTGGTCCTCCTCCTCTTCCTCTTCTGGGCGGCTGATCAGATTGCGTATCGGCGGCTACTCGGGGGTCCCACCTCGCCAGTGTGGCGCTGTCCCTGCCAGCCTATAGAGGTCGCCAGAGCACCCCACGCAAGTTTTGCTCACGACCACTCTTGCACGTCAGCCCGCGCAAGCGTTCTCGCTGTCCGTCCAATAATGTAGCGGCCTCTCCATGGACCCCAAGCGCTCGATGGAGGCCCAGAAGCAGTCGGAGAGCCTGGCCCCTGGCAGAGACACGAACTTGGCTGCCGCAACTTGGTGGCCCGCCGTGCCGCTGCCGGCGTCGACCATCCCGGCCGCACCTTCGATTGCGATCGTCCTTGCTGTACTCGCCGCCAGAGCGGCCGCAGGTCACCAAGTGCGCCCCCCGTCCTCGCAGCCGTCCAGGTGTGAGGCGCTCTCGTACCAGGGGTGTCGAAGGGTGGCGGCGCTGTCAAATCCTTGAGCGTGATGCCCCTGAGCCAGACGTCTGGTGCCTCCTTTGTCCCCTCTTCGGAACGCTTCAGGAGGCTCTGTCTTGCCTCACCTCGCACTCCCCCCCGAATGCTCTGGAGGCCGTCCTCCTCGAGGCCGCAATCGCAAAGGCCGCCGTTGCCTCCGAATTGCTGGGCATTTGCGCTCCAGCGTCCAGGTGTGCCTGCGCAGGCCGCCGTGGGTATCGTTCAACCGATCCCCATCCCCAGCGGCGTGGCCTGGGCCCCGCTGGCCGAATTACCCCCCTAGATGTGGATATACGCCGCTCCCTTCGGGCTTCGAGGGGTGTATCCCCAGCTGGGGTGGCAATTTGGTGGGGGTCTCGAGGGGGATGGGGATGGGGATGGGGACCGGATAAACGATACTGAGGCGATGGGCGGATGGGCGGAAGGAGGAGGACGAGGAGGAGGACGAAGAGGAGGAGGAGGAGGACCCCCTCCCCCTCCAACTTATGGTAATGCTGGTGGAAATCAGGCCCATCAGCCCTGGGCAGAGTGCCGGCCGCACGGCGGTGCCATCTGCAGCTCGGCCACTGCAACGTGCGCGCGCCGGTCCGCGACGCCCGCCCCCCCTCTTCGAGTCTGCCCCGGCTGCGGCGCGCAGCCGCTCGCTCCCACAGCTGGTCTTAGGTCGGGCGTGTCCCCCTACAGGGGGGCTTTCGACGAAAAATAAGACATGCCAAAAACCTAATCCCAAATGGTGAAGAATACTCCAGAAATAGTCCCCCGACTATGTTTTGACTTGTTTGGGATATATTCCCCCTGTCGAGGGACAGGCCCGACTTGAAGCTGGTCCTGCAGGTCGGCTGCTGCCTCTGCGCCCGTCTCCACTGGGCGGGCGCGCTGGCTTCCACCACACGGCCCGGCGCATCCTGCGCTGCGGCGGCACTGCCAACTTCGACCGAGGCTGCGCAGGCTGGCCACTCTCGGCGGTGGACAAACCTCCCTTTAGTAAACCTCCCTTTAGTGAAAACGGCCCCGGACCGAAACCGACGGACCTGGACCCGTCAAAAAAACGGCCGCGACGCCCTCTCGCGAATCGAAAACGGCCAATTCACTAATCGACGCGTCAGGGTAGGTCTATCCCCCCCCGACACTCGGACGACCCCGTGACGAGATGCTCCGAGAATGCCTCCACGCACAGCCGCTGCTCATGGGGCTTCACGGGCCGCGCGCCCTCCACCTGCTGTCCGCAGAGTCGCCGACCGCATCCTCGGGTGGGAGCTTCCCCGGGGCGCCGTCACGGTCGATCCACGTATCGTGAGGGAGGGCCGGGGAGAAGAAGGGAGGGCGAGCCCGATGTCGAGGATGAATAAACTCTTCAGCATTCGAGCTCTGGGTCAGAATTGACATGGCAAAAATCTGTCGACCCTGTCGGCGTGTGTGAGACGTAACTATTTCCGCTTGAAGCGTCGTCGCTGTCGTCGCTCCCTTTTTTCCGTTTGAATCGTCGTCGTCGTCGTCGTAGCCGTCGCCACTCTCCCCATTTCCCTGAGCCCTCCTCCTCAAGCGATGCAGCCAGACGGCAATCTAACAACGTCGTCGAGTCGAAGGGAAGCGAGCCCCTTTCCTTGGATCCCCTCTCCGCAAGGGGTGTGTCCCGGGGAGGTCCCGGGGGGGGGCGTCCCCCCCCCTCTCTGACCAAGACGGCTCAATTGAGAGCCCCACGGAGCCGCAAGAGGGGGAACACCAATCAAGTCGAAAGGCAGGCCCTTGATCCCTTCCCCGCTGAGGGGGTGGTGTCCCGGGGGGGATCGTCAGGGGCGGTCCCGGGGGGGGGTCCTGGGAAGGGTCCCGAGGCCAGCCCACAAGTGCCCCCACGAGGGCTCGCGAGCGTCGTCGTCGTCGTCGGGGGCGGCAGCGTCGGCGTCTACGCCGTCCCCCTTCAGGTCGGCGGCACTGGCCGTAAGGCCTTTGCAGTAAGTAGGGGGCGGAAGATCAGGACGAGATATCATAAACTTGTAAATTTGACAAACAGGAGGACGCGGGAGGCGAAGAGGGATGAGGAGGGGCATGAGGAGGAAGAGGGAGGGGGAGGAGGGACGTAGAGGAACGCGAATCTGAGCATGGTACCGATGATGAGACTAAGGAGAGCACGATGGGGGAATAGTACCAGGGGAGGGAGTGGAAGGAGGCATATACAGAGGAGCACAATGACGAGCATGATGCCGAGGGTGAGCACGAAGAGGGCGAACGGGAGCGGGAGGGAGCGGAGGAGATCGGGGGGAGCAGCGACGGGGGCGCGGCGTGCTTCTGTTTGGTGAAATTCAGCATGGTGGCGATGTCCGCGTTCAGGTTGGCGGTGCCATTGATCTCGCTCCGGATGAACACGTGCGGCGGCTTCCTGGGGCGTTCGCCTCGCCTTCTCTCTCTCTCTCTCACTCTTCACTCGACATGGCTCGGACGTCCATTCCCCGTGCGCTGTTTGGTCTCTTGAGTATCCTTTTTCAACAGGGGCGCCTAACTACACGCTTCGCGCTGCGCGAAGCGCGAATAAATTCGCGCTCTCGCACCGCCTCCCAGGGGATAGCATGAGAACGATGAGGAATCGGAGACGGACCGCGAAGCGCGAAGAACTTCGCGCCCTCGACGGCGCACTTGCTCACGATGGTCCAAGATGCTTCAAAGTGGTCCAGGCTGATGGCGCTGGCCTCGCCAGAGCACAAATACACACGTCCAAACGATGCCAAGCCCTACCACCAGGAAACAGGAGGCCAAGTGTACAACTGCTCTGTCGACAACATGTGGCTGTGGGGGCACCGCGTGACGTGATGGGTCCCCTGGTTTTGCGACAAGCAACTTCACGACGACAAAATTGGGGGGCAAATTCACGAATAAACGACATCGAACATACGAGGCGACTGGCTTTCGCCTCACACTTTCGTCTCACGCTTTTGCTTCCCGCTTTCGCCACCCTCGCCTCCCGCTTTCGCTTTCGCCTCCCACTTTCGCCTCCCGCTGTGGCTTTCGCACCCCACTGTGGCCTCCCGCTTTCGCTTTCTCCTCATGCTTTCGCCTCCCGCTTTCGCTTTCGCCTTGCACTTTCGCATCCAACGTTCGCTTTCGCCCATCGCTTTCGCCTCCCCCTTTTGCTTTCGCTCCCACTTTCTCCTCGAAATTTCACTTTCGCATACCGCTTTCGCTTCCGCGAAAGTGGGAGGCGAACGCGAAGCGAGAGGCGAAAGAAGGAGGCGAAAGCGAAAGCGGGAAGCGAAAAAGGGAGGCGAACACAAGAGGCGAAAGCCAGAGGCAAAAACGAAAGTGGGAGGCGAAAGTGGAACGCGAAAGTAAAAGCGGGAGGCGAAAGCGGAAGGAGAAACGAAAGCGGGAGGCGAAAGCGGAATGCGAAACCGAAAGCGGGAGGCGAAATGAGGAGACGAAAGCGACAGCGGGAGGCGAAAACTAAAGCAGGACGCGAAGGCGGGAGGCGCAAGCGAAAGCGGGGGGCGAACGCGGGACGCGAAAGCAGGAGGCGAAAGTGGGAGGCGCAATCGAAAGTGGGAGGCGAAAGTGGGAGGCGCAAGCGAAAGCGGGAGACGAACGTGAAAGCGCGAGGCGAAAAATGGAGGCGAAAGCAAGAGGCGAAAATGGGAGGCGAAAACGCAACCGAGAGGCGAAACCAGAAGGCGGAAACGAAAGCGGAAAACGCAAGCGGGAGGCGAAATTGGGAAGCGAAAACGAAAGCGGGAAGCGACAGTGGGAGGCGACATCGGAAGCAGGAGGCGGAAGTGGGAGACGAAAGCGAAAGTGGGAGGCGAAAGTGGGAGGCGAAAGCGAAAACTGGAGGCGAAAGCGAAAGCGGGAGGCGCAAGTGGCAGGCGAAACTGAAAGCGGGAGGCCAAAGTGGGAGGCGAAAGCGAAAGCGAAAAGCAAAAGTGGGAGGCGAAACCGACAGTGGGAGGCGAAAACGAACGCGGGAGGCGAAAGCGAAAGGGGGAGGCGAACAGGGGAGGCGCAAGCGAAAGTGGGAGGCGAAAGCGGGAGGCGCAAGCGAAAACGGGAGGCGAACGTGGAAAGCGAAAGCGAAAGCGGGAGGCGAAAGTGGGAGGCGAAAGCGAAAGCGGGAATCGAAAGTGGGAGCGAAAGCGAAAGGGGGAGGCGAAAGCGATGGGCGAAAGCGAAAGCGGGATGCGAAAGTGGAAGGCGAAGCGAAAGCGGGAGGCGAAAGCGGGAGGCGCAAGCGAAAGCGGGAGGCGAACGTGGAAAGCGAAAGCGAAAGCGGGAGGCGAAAGTGGGAGGCGAAAACGAAAGCAGGAATCGAAAGTGGGAGGCGAAAGCGACAGCGGGAGGATAAACCGGAAGCGGGAGGCGCGGGAGGCGAAACCAGGAGGCGAAACTGAAAGCGGGAGGCGAAAGTGGGAGGCGAAAATCAATCGCCTCCCACTTTCGCCTCTGCTGCTTGTCGCGCAGTTGTCCCGATCTTGTCGTGTTTGGGTGCTTCCTTGTCGTGTTTGGGTCTTCGATGTCGTGTTTGGGTCCGACGCTTGCAAGGCGCCAGCAAATCAGAACATACGTACATGTTGTGGCAATGTGCACGTGTACAGCTTTTCCTGCAACGTAAACACGTATCCGCCGACCCCCGCTTGCTGGGGGTGTGAAGGCGTGTGAGATGATTGGCCACCCCCCGCTCCCCCTTTCCCCTCCCTTGTGGTCTGAAATCCGATTAGAGGGGAGGGGGGCTCGAGAGGGGAGGGGGTGAGCAGGGGCAGCTGGGGGGGGCGTCTCCGAGCTCAGCAACGCCTCCCCTAGGGCCTCCAGAGCCTCCATTTCTGCACTCTGTGCTCTCTAAGATGCCTAGGAATCGACCTGCGCTTGCTAAAGCAGGGTCCCAACACAGAAAGGAGATCTCGAAGACGACCAAGATAGCCTCAAGACTGCACAAGAGGCCTCAAAGACGCCCCAAGAGGGCTCCAGGACGACCCTCGAGTGGCCCCAAGAGGCAAGAATCGTCCACATCTCCAGGGAAGATGCGTAATTTCAACATGTTCGCATTATTGTGGGGCTCAACAGCGTCCAAGACGCCTCAAGAGGCCCCAAACAGGGCTTCAGGACGGCCCAAGAAGCCCCCAAGAGGGTCCCCAAAACGGCAGAAGAGGGCCCCAAGACGGCCCAAGAGTGCCCCTATGATGGCCCAAGAGGACCCTAACGAAGCCCTAAGAGCGGTCACTCGAACTGACATGCCGAGCCCTAAGAAGCTCCCAAGAGGCCCAAATATATCCCCAACAGGATCTGAAGAGGGCCCCCAAAGGGTCCTCAAGTGGCCCCAAAAGGCATCACCAGTTGACTGCATCTCTCTTCTGGTCGAGCGAAAAATGAAAAATCGTAAAACAAAAATTTAGCGAAACTTGAAAATAGTAAAAACAAAAATATCGAAAATATTCAAAAAAAAGATGGTATCCAGACTATGTTTAGACTGTTTTTGCAATTCCCCCCTGTAGAGGGACAGGCCCGACTTAACACTAGTCAAATGCAACATACTCGCGCTCCTCAAACCAAGATGCCTCCAAGACGGGTCCAAGAGGGCTTCATGACGGCCCAAGAGGCGCCCAAGACTACGCAAGAGGACCCCGAGACGGCATCGAGAAGGGCCCAACAAGGCCCCCAACAGGGACAGCCACAAAACGGCCCACGCGAGTTCTATGACGGCTTCCCAACTAGTGAGCAAGAAAGGTGTCAGATGTGACGGCCTTCCTCCTCCTCGTCCTCCTCTTCCTCCTCCTCCTGCTCCTCCTCCTCCTCATTCTTCACATCATTCTCAGCATCCTCATCATCCTCATCCGCATCTGAATCCTGCTGCTGCTCATCATCATCATCATCATCATCATCATCAGCATCAACATCATCATCATCATCATCATCATCATCATCAACACAACCGTCATCATCACCACAAGTATCATCATAATCACTATCACAATCATCATTACCATCACAATTACCATCACACCATCATCACCATCACCGTCACCGTCACCATCAGCATCACCACCACCATCATCAGCATCAACGTCATCATCGTCATCATCGTCATCATCGTCATCGTCATCGTCATCATCATCATCATCATCATCATCATCATCATCATCATCATCATCATCCTTATCACGGGTCACCCAAGACTTGGGACACGAGGTGTCACACGTGACGGCCCCAGTGCCCCCTCGAACAAACGCCACCCAAAATGCTGGGCTGGCACGGTGGCGGGACTTGCCGCCATTAGCTGGATACCTATATATGTATATATCTATGTGTGTACATACATTTACAGATATAGTGAGGGGGCCGAACGGCCATTCCTTGTCCCTGGGTGCGTGGCTGAAGTGGGTTTCCGTGGCCTGGATGCTTGGTGTTTCTTGTTTCTTGCTGTCGTCCGCGACCCCCCCGCGACCCACCCCGCGACCCACCTGCGACCCACCCCGAGGGCCGCCCGACCCACCCCGCGACCCACCCAACGCCCACCCCCTTCCTCTTATCCGTAACCGCGGGTTGCTACATCAGAGTGAGCGGGCCGAACGGTCATACATTGTCCCTGCGCGCGTGGCTGGAATGTGATTCCGTGGCATGGACTCTTGTTTCTTGCTTGATGGTCGTGGAATGCATGTCTTCCTTACGAAACAATTATGAATCTTGGACCCCCTCTACCCGCCTGGGCGCTCTCACCTCGGCGTGGCTGCATCTCGTTTGAAACTGAGGCTCGCGCTCCAACGTTTCGGGGTATCGCCCAAACAACAACGCTCCCGTGCGACACTTCCTCACAAGTCACTCCGAGAGGCCCTGGCAAGAGAGGGCCTGAACATTAGGAAAAGCGCTCTGGCGTAAGACGTCCTCGCAATTCAACACCACAAAAGGGGCCCTTCAGAACTATCTTGCCGCTACTCCCGGATTCCAGACCGGCCGTTTCGCCTGGGATTTCTTTTTGAATTCAGCGCCAGAAAGGTCCTTCGGAACCAGGTTGCTGCTGCTGGCAGATGCCAGAAAAGCTCTTTCGCCACGGACATCTCCGCAACTCAGCACCATAAAGGGGGTCCTCCAAAATAATCTGGCTGCTACTCGCGGATACCGGAACGGCCGTTTTGCTTGAGATTACCCCACACTTCAGCAACACAAGGAAATCCGTCAGAGTAGTCTTGCCGCTACTTGCTGAGGCCCCAGGGCCCTCCAAGGTTGTGTTCGGGGATCGTTTCTCGGCCCTCCCGCTCCCAGGGGGCCCCTGGAGATATTTTTCAGTAGTGGGATGTTTGGGGAACGCTTTTCGACCCTCCCGCTCCCAGAAGGCCCCAAGAGGCTCCATGAGGCCCTTTTCTGTATTGAGATATGTGTTCGGGGAGTGCTTTCGGCCCCCCGAAGGCTTCCACGTACGTTAAGCGCAGCCCCTAAAACAGGGAGTGAGAAAAACGGAGCACAAGAGAAATTAGCAGGAGGGGGGCTAGGAAGAGAAAACACGTGGCATAAGCGGACAAGCAGATCGGGCGGGCAGAACCTAACGGGCGGGTCGGGAAGGCGAGCCCAGGCGACCAGGTCGAGCAGGCGGGTTGTTGAAGCAAGCTTTCCCCCTTCATGAATCGCAAGGAAGTCTTGAAAAATGGCGCGATTGCCAAGTACACCTTGAGGAAATCCACAGCGACAGCGTAATTCCTGAGTGTCGAGGGCGCGGCGTCTGAATACATTGCGAGGAAATCCCACGCGAGAGCGCGTACCTGTACACATTTTATGGAAGACCCGCGCGAAAGCGCGATTTGGCAATACATTGTAAGGAAGTATCAGGCGAGAGCCGTTGTTATCATTGGTGTTGTTGTTGTTGTTGTTGGTGTTGTTGCTGTTTTTGTTTTTGTTTTTGTTGTTGTTGTTGTAAACCGGGGGCCAGGTGAGCAGTTCGGTGACACCTCGCTCTCCCTGGAAAGAACAAAGATGCGAACCCTGAGAGGAGCACATTACTTTAAACAGCACAATGGTTACTGAGCAGGGGGGATCAACAATATTATTCTTCGGAAATGGAAATTCCAACAAACCGCATTGTCTGTCCTCTCGGTGTATTGAAAAATCGCGCTCTCTCGCGCGGGACCTCGTCACGATTGATCCAGGCGCTCTGACTGACCCCCGTTTGCAATGACCCCCGTCTCTTAAGCCCCGACCCGTCCCGCTCGAGACACCTCCGGTCTCCAGTTCGGGAGGCATTGTGGACCTCCTCAACCGAGGCGGCCCGCTGACGGCTGTGGTGTCGCCTCTGCTCTCTCTGTAGAGGCCTCCTAGGTGGGGTCCGAGTAGATGGGGTCGGAGGATCGCGCCGCATCCCCGATGCATCGGCGACGTCGGCGGTGCATCGGCGACTTCAGCGCGGAGAACATCGGGCTCCACATCGAGCCGAATCGGCCATACATCGGAGATGCGGCGTGCTCCTTCGACCTTGCCATCGCTCGGACGTGCATTCCCCATGCATTTGTCGGCCTCGTGCGTGCTTGTTTGGCTCGATGATCAAGGATGCTCCTCAATGGTCCCCGCCGAAAACATAACACACACACGCAAACATGCACACACACACGCGCACACACACACGCACACACACAGACACAGACACAGACACAGACACAGACACAGACACAGACACAGACACAGACACAGACACAGACACAGACACACACACACACGTCCGAGCGATGCCAAGCCGACCCCATCTACTCTTAGGTCGGGCCTGTCCCCCTACAGGGGGATTTTGGGCGAAAAAGTGGCCAAACAATGCACCAAACAGTTCAAAAATACTAAAAAATCGTCCCCCGACTATTCTGTTTAACTATTTTTGAATATACCCCCTGTGGAGGGACAGGCCCGACTTAAATCTACTCTGACCCCATCTGGGAGACTTAGACGCTGGCCCTCCCGAGTCACCGCTGCCGCCCTGCGCCTGCCGCGGTCGGAGACGACCGACGGTTGCTCCCTCTCGCCTGCGGCCCGCGCCCGCGCCCGCGACGGGACCCGTCGAGGCAGCGACTCGCTGGGCTGGGCCCCGAAAGACCGCGCCGGTCAAGTTTTTTGGGAATCGGCGATAACCTGGGATATCGGGGAGAGGGGGGAGGGAGGGGCCAGCCGATAACCTAACCCTCGCGCTGTGGGCAACACTGCAGATGCCCGCACCCCCCCCCCCCACCCCGGACCTGCACAACCGGCAAGGTTAGGTTATCCTTGGGGGGGGGCAAGCCCGATAACCCGGGTCACTGCCAGACCCGAACGAAAAGGCTGAAGCCGCCCTGCAGCATGGCACCGTGGCGGCCATCCAGTGACGAGCAGCGGAGGGGCCCGCTTCCCGCGGACGCCGAGGTGCTGGTGCACACTGGGCGGCAGAGAGCGGGTCTCAGGCGCTCGACGGCGCGGCGGCCGTCCGCGACGGCTCGCGCGGGCCGCCACCCGCAGCGCCCGGCGCGGAGCAGAAGGGCGCGCGCACGCGCGACCTCGCGCGGGCAGTCGGCCCCGCTCCGGATGGCATTGTCGGAGGTGGACAGGCTTAATTAAGTCGGGCCTGTCCCTCTACAGGAGGAATATTCCAAAATAGTAAGGAAATAGTGTAGGGGACTATCTTGTGATTATTGTTGGTCCATGTTGGAAAATATATTGACATTTTTTATGTTCTCCAAAATCCCCCTGTAGGGGGACAGGCCCGACTTCATGATAGACCTTCTGCCCTGACACGTCGATTGGTGAATTGGCCGTTTTCGGTTCGCTAGAGGGCATCGCGGCCGTCATTTTTGCGGGTCCAGGTCCGTCGGTTGCGGTCCTGGGCCGCTTTCACTGAAGGGAGGCTTACTAAAGGGAGGTCTGTCCACCGCCGAGGCTAGGAATCACCCCCCCCCTCCCTGGGGTCGAGATTGGGGGGTGGGCGCGTGCCGTCGGGGGAGGGGGCTTTGGGGGGGACTGCAGCTTTGAAGCTCGAGTTCCAGGGCCAGGTGTGGGGGGGGGGGGAGGGAGGGGGGAGTCTTGGACGCCCGTCGGGGGGCTGGGGGTTGGGGTGGGGACGCTCCGTCGGAAGATCAGTCGCTCCCCCCCGATGATTGTGCAATATGGAGTAACGGCGCTGTTGGTTCATGGCAATGTTGGGAATCTGGTTTTTGCGACGCCGAACTCGTGCAGAACAAATTGAAGAAAAGCACGAACAAGCCTTTCCTAGACTTGGGTTGGCCACGAAGCATCCTTTCGGGCAATGCCGAAACCTACATCGACGTTACCTGCATCGCCGCTAGCGTGTCTACAGTCCTCCTGCGCCGCCCATCTGCCATCAACCCTCCCCCATGCCAAAGCATGACCTGGCAGACAAGGGGCGAGTGCGCAGGCAGCCTGATGTCTTTCATCTGGCTGCTGAAGTTGACTCTGAGCCCAATGTTGGCGATGAGGTAGGGCTGGTAAAGCCTCGCCGCAGAATGCGAGGAGACAACCACTGCAACATGCGATTACAAATGCGCGTCACTCCCATGATTGCAGATGTACGCGTAGCACTCCGCAGTCGGGGATGAGAGTGAGGGGGTGGCGGGGACGTCTGCAGTCTGCGAGGCTCTAAAAAAGCCCGCCGCAGGCGCCTTTACGAGCCCGCCGCAGGCGACGGTTTTCGCTAAAGCAATGTGAGTGGGTCGCGGTGGGTCGCGGGTGGGTCGCGGGCGGGTCGCGGGTGGGTCGCGGGTGGGTCGCGGGTGGGTCGCGGGTGGGTCGCGGGGTGGATCGCGGACGGGTCGCGGGTGGGTCGCGGGTGGGTCGCGGGTGGGTCGCGGGTGGGCCGTGGATGGGTCGCGGGTGGATCGCGGACGGGTCGCGGGATGGGTCGCGGATGGGTCGCGGGTGGGTCGCAGGCGGGTCGCGGGGGCTGGGTTGCGGGTGGGTCGCGGGCGGGTCGCACTACAGCCACGCACCCAGGTACAGTGAATGACCGTTCAGCCCCCTCACTCTGATTGTCAAGACCCGAGTTTCCCTTGCACGGTTCACATGAGCCACTGCAAGACGTATTGATGCTGTCGCGCCCCAGCTAAGCGAAGGAGGGGCGCTTCGGAGAACATGAGAAGGAAGAGAAGGGGGAACGGTTCGAGAGAGATGAGGGTGGGCACGGGAGGGAGCATAATGCAATACGACCACGACGACGACGACGAGGACAAACACCACATCGACATCGACCGCGACGACGGCAAAAGGGGAGATACAGGGGGGAGGCATTCTAAGATGTAAGAAAGCTTCTCAGAATGGGCAGGTGCCTTCTCAGAGGCTGACAAGAAGGCTGCTTACAAGGCAAGATGGCCTCAGAAGGCCGCCGGAGATCCCTGAAGGTCTCTAGACATCCCCAGAAATGCAAGACTTGCCAATAATGTCCAAAGAACTCGATCATTTACCCCCGAGGACCGGATCGAATCGGACGGCTTTGGCTCAGCATCTTTAGCCAACTTCGATCTACTCCCGTGACCTGGAGGCCGTCAACATGTTCGTGGAAGCATGCTCGATCTGATAGTATGAGCCTGTCTGGGGCCGCGCGGCCTGGGGCCCGGGGGGGACAGCAGCAACGGGGGAGTACGACACCAGCTCATGCCGCTGCTCTTCCTGGCGCCTCCCAGCGCCCAGGGCGCCCATGCACCGAAGAAACCGCCAGTCGTCGGGGCCGAAGCCAGATGCGTGCGGCAGACTTCGTAACCCTCACTGCCCCACCACCCCCTCTCGCCCGACCCGACTGCCGCCCTCGAGGACGAGGACGGCCGGGGGCGTCCAAGAGGAGGGGGACCCCAGGATGGAAGTTCGTAACTTCTGGCCCGAGGCATGTGCGCGGACGAGGTGGGGGCCAGGTGACCTGCTGGCCATCGCTCGGATGTCTATTCCCTGTGTTTTTTGGGGTATCGAGCGTGGTTTCTTCGCCAAATGATCAAGGATGCTCCTCGATGGTCCTCGCCGAAAGAAAAACATGCACACGTCCGAGCGATGCCAAGCGTGCTGAAAGAAGAAGAAGAAGAAGAAGAAGACGTGAGCTATGTTGGCCCCGGCCATGGTAGCCCCCCCCCCAATCATCCCCCCCTCTTGGCCGCCCCCCGAGAACAGGCAGCGCCTCTGAAGGGGCCCCAGGACACAAAAAAATAGACACACATAATTGTCCTATATTTTCTGGGTTCTCGTCTGCCCCCCATATCTTCCCCCACAATAGGCCGCATGTTTTCCCATATTTTCTGTGTTCTCGTCTTCCCCCCCACTCCCCACATTTTCCTATATTTTGTCGACGATTCATTGTGTCTGTGTGTTTTTTTCCCCTCCTGAGCCTCATGAGCCCCACGCCGCCGGGGAAGATGTACCTGAACTGCGGGTTCTTGGTCGTGTTCATGTCGTAGTCCTCGGGGCCGGCACCGGGACGCCGGCGCGAGCCGGCGGCAGGTGGCACGGCCCGCCACGAGAGGGGGGAAAGATCGGGAGGGGACCAGCTCGTGGGGGGAGGCATCGAGCTGGCGTCAGCGATACATCGCCCACGATTGATCGGCGACCTGCACCCGACATTGAGCTCGCACGCTCTGGGGCGGCGGAATGGGCAATCGGGCCCCTATCGGCGATGAATGAGCGCGTAGGGGTCGAAGCATCTCCCCCTGAGCTACCCCCCCCCCGCCCCTACCACGGCCCGCCACCCACGCTCTTTCTGTCCTACGGTGCTACCCCACCACCTCACGCCTGGCCAGGGCCATCCTGGGCCCCAGGATGGTGACAAGCCCGCCTGACCTCGGCCGCCTAACCTCGAAGGCCTGGGCTGCCACACCGCCCTCCTCCTTCCGCCTTCCTCCTCTCGCAAGCCCGCACTCCCTCCCCCCTCAGCTTTTCTTCCTGGTCCTCCATGCCGCGGGTGGGAAGCGTAGGCACTGGCCGCAGCGGCGCTAGGAGCCCCTGTCAGCAATCCAGGCAACATCGCGCGCGCTCCCACACACGCGCGCGTGAATGCGTGCAATTCCTGCCACCTATGGGACACGCCGCTCGACTTCTTGTTTTGATTTCCGTCTGCTCGCGTCGGCCTGCCCATTACCCGGGACGGCACGCTCTCTGCTCGAGAACGATCGTGAAGAACACGGCTGCAACTTGCGCCAGACGCGCCCCGCCCGTGCTTCACCTGCTGGCACAAAGCCGCGGGGAAGGAATGTGTTGAGAGGATCGAGCACGATGACCATGCCCTCGGTGTCGGTCTCGGTCATCGCTAATCTTGGTCGGCGCCACTTCGTGGACCATCCCTGCGAATCGGCGACGGCCGGCACGGACAAGGACCAACATAGGCGTCGACAAGATCCCGCGGCATCTTGGCCATGGTGATCCGAGCTTGGTGCGTCTCGAGACACCTGTTCGGTCGGGCATGTCCCCCTGCAGGCGGATTTTGCAGGAAAAATGAAGGATACCAGACAAATGCTCCAAACATAGAAAAATAGTCAGCAAATCGTCCCCATACTATGTTTTGACTGTTTTTGAATCTTCCCCCTGTAGAGGGACAGGCCCGACCTAAGACAGCTGTTGCTCGCGCTGCTCGCGCTGACCGACCCCGACGGTGCGCCGCCGCGGAGGGGGGAACGGCGTGCGTCCGCTTGCGCGTGCGCGGGTACTCTCGCTTGCGCGTGCGCGTTTACTCTCTGAGCGCGTACGTGCGCTTGCGCTTGCACGTGCGCGTGCGTCGGCTTGCGCGTGCGCGTATGCGTGCCCCCCCTTCGCACTGCTGTCGCTGTCATCTCTCCGCCTCACGCTGCTCGTGCTGTCGAGCTGGCCGCGCCGGCGCCTGCAGTTCGCCCCGTCCACTCCGCGGCTGGTCCGACTCTCGACGACGTGCGACGCCGAGCATCACACCTGTGCACGATGTCAAGGTAAGTGCGCGTGTGGAATTGTGTGTACTTGTGTGTCCTGCTCCACTTCCAGAATTCGGGCCGACCATCGCAGTTCTTGTCTTCGTGCCCGGAATCGGGCCCTCTGAGCCCCTGCCGTCTCTTGGCTGTGGTGCGGCCTCTGGTCGCTTCGCGTGTCACCTGGATGGGGCCCAACGCCCCATCCCTGCCGAAGTTCATCGTCCAGCCTGTGCTGTCTGTCACGCTACCGGCTTCGGCCGTTGCTTTCCCGTGCACGCCTGGGGGCTAGATTATCAGCGGTGCCTCTCCGGCGGTCTTGCCTGCAGGTCTCTGTCGCCTCTTTCCCCGACTCGCCCCCCCCCCCTCCCGGCCTCCCCTGCCCTGGGACGCACAGAAATATACTAGTACTATGTGTTCTCCTCGGAGGCGCGCGTCCAAACCGAACATACGGTACACACATCTTGTAGTATTTCGTTTTCCTGACGGTACGGCCAAGAAGCGCGTGCCACTCACAGCGCGCGTCGCCCCTGGGTACGGGGACGCACACGTAGTACTAGGATTTCTGGGGTGGCGCCGATGTCCCGCTCTTCAATCCAGGGGCCTCGCACGTCGGCAGGTGCCGCTCCCTCGCTTCGCGGGTGCCTTGCGCGCCCAGGACTGCCGCCCGGGGCGGGCCGCTGGCCCCGTGCGCGTCGCCCACGCCCCAACTCATGCCAAATCGCCCCTCCTGCCTGGGCTGCTCTCGAGCCTCGAGGGGGGGCCACCCGCCCACCCACGCTGCTCCGCCAGCCGCTGCCGCTCTGGTGGGTGCCCAGCGGCCAAGCGCACCAGGTGCGACAGTGGTCCACCTGCCAAAAGTGGTGGCCGTTGTGTTCCACGCGGTGGCATGGCGGGCGGCCGCCGCGGCGGTGGCGGGCCGCCGGGAGCACAACCCTGCTGCTCCCTGCCCCTCCCCCCCCCGCTGGCTCCGCGTCGCCGCCTCTTTCTCTCGCTCGCGCCGCTGTTGGCGCGGCCATTTCGCCCTGGCGGCACTCGAACGACTGACCCGGCCTTGGGGCTGCCCATGCCACTTCGAAGGACTCGGGCGCCCGGTCCTAGTTCACTGCAGGGGGGCCGGGGCACTGCCTCGTGGTGCGGCACACGCCTCCCCCCCCGTCTCGGATGTTGCTCGAAGTGCCTTTGGTTCAAGGTGCCCTCAGCTTTTCGCTCCGTTTTGGACCCCCCGTGGCCCTCTGGGCCTCGTGACGGGTGCCCTGGAGGCCGCCTGGGCCACCCTGAGAATCCTGGGGGTACCATGGGCCAGGATTACTTCTAGCAACACCCCCCCGTCTGCACGGCGGAGGTGCCGGGGCCAGCACCAGCGGGCGTCTGCCGTGCCCTGGGCGCGTCTCGCCGCTGCTCCTGGCGAGCCGGCTCGGCTTGACGTCTTACTGCTGGCGGCGCTCGAACGCCCGACCCGGCCCTGGGGCGGCCCTGCACGGTGATGTCCCCCTGGCCACCCCCACCCCCTTCCGGCAGGACTCCGGACCTCCGCAGGGGCGCTCGGTCCGACCAGGACCTGCGGGCGGGCCCGACGGAGGTCTCCCCGAAGGCCCCCGGAAGGCGCCCGCTCCCCCTCCTCTTGATGAGCTTGGAATCCACCACCACCATAAGTTGGAGGGGGAGGATGATGATGACATGAAAGGATGAGGATGAGGATGAGGATGAGGATGAGGATGATGGTGATGGCGCAGCCCCTTCAAGCACCAAATATCCAGAAGCCCCGTCACCGCTAAAAAAGAATTCGAATGTGAGGCTTCCGCTTCGAGATTGCCCTGGCCCGAGCTTCGTAAAATGCGAGAATACACTCAGGGCCGAATCGTTTCAGATTCCTGAGAGAATTAAAAGTGCTGAATATAAGATCGTGAGCTAGCATGGTAGAGTACAGGGCAGGAGGGGTAGACACATTAAAACTGTGAAGCAGCAAGCGGTCCTGGGCCGTCCAGGAGAGGTAGTCAGGAGGAAGATGGGGCAGAACCTGACAGAGCGGCTCAAGGGCGCAAGGGCAGTCAAAATAGTGGAGGATGTGATCGCCTCCACACGCTCGGCACCCGAACTGACATGCATGCCGCCCCTGACGGTACCTGGAACTGGTGGCCCAGGAGTTACAAACACCTTTCAAGACAGCGGCGCCAACAAACGGGGCAAGTTTTGTGACAGCAAGCTTGATACGCATAACTACAAAAAAAAATTGGGAAGCTGAGCAGTGTCGAAATGTCTTATACGAGGGAGGGAGCTAAATTGGCAAAAATCTGAACTTTCCTACGACTGAGAAGGGTATTCACTTTTTTCTGCAGCACGTCAGTGTCGGAGTCAACTATCATTATGGGAGTAGCAGTCAGCCGGATGTAATTGGCAATCAAGGAATAACAGATACTGGATTGATGCCACTTTGTGTGGCGTAGAACTGCTAGTCGATCAATCTCCTCATTCTCCAGCCAGGCGAACCCTCCTCGCACTTCAGAGAAGCAGCAATATTTTAAGGCGACCCGATACATACTGGCCCTGGATTCTCTCTGGAGGTCTCTGGGATCGTGAGGGAAGCAAAGCACCGACGGGGACCTCAGGAGACCTGCAGGAATGGAATCCCTGGGAGCGGGCGCAAGAAGCTGATGAGCTTCTTCCTCTTTGTTTCGCAACAGCTGGCGGCGCCTGATACAGCTGGCCCACAGAGCTGAGCACGGAGAAGGCCAGCGAGTTGTAGGCTATGATATTCTGGCATAGCCCTCAACACAGACCTTTGATGCGCCAGACTCGCTTGATGCATTTGACCCCCGGAGCATCCCAGGACACCGTAGGCCCATTCGGGCCGATATAAACTCCCAGATACTTGCCGAAGGTGTCGACCCGATGCAGCCTTGTTCTAATGCCAGATCCACGAAACATCTCCAAAACCTCTCTCCTGGAGTATGGCGCAGCAAATACCAGCGAACACTTGCCTGGGTCCAAGATCAGGCCCGTCGCCAACGCGGCCTGAGAGAGCAATCTCAGCACGACGGCGAGCGTGCGGAGAAGGTCACTGAAAATGATACCTATATCGCCAGCGAACGCAAATGGCCGTGCCAACGGAGTCATAACATAATATAGACACCTGAAAATAGGATCAGCAGCTAGAGCAAATAGTACAAGATAATGGACAACCCTGGTTGATTCCTCGTGTGATATAGTGCCCTCTGAATGTGCCACCTCCTAGTCTGATACTTATGTATATATCGCGATATAACTGTTGAACAGCGCCCGCGCCACAGTCAGGAAGAGGAAGAAACAAAAAAAAATGCAACACGGTCAGGATCCACGCATGAGCGAGGCTCGGGAAGGTAACGGCAAAGTCAAGCAAGAAGAGGCCAGCTCGCTCGGCTCCGCGAAACACTGCTTGCCCCAAAAAGTCAGACTCTATCAGCATTATGTTGTCAAGCATGCTCCTGCCTAACCCAGTCTGGTTTTTGCGCGCAGAAAACTGAGCCTGTTGACCCAAAGGAATACACAGCATCGAAGCGAAGGTGTTATTATTAGTATTGCCCAGGAACAACGGTCGGGTCCCCGCAGCTTTTGTTTCCGCGCCTCCCTTAGGGAGTCGCCCTCGAGATTTTTGGTCAGGAAAACCGTCGCCCCATGGTTGAAACCCCCAGGGAGAGAGGTGTCCAGACATGGATTTCAAATGTGCTTGGTACAAGATCTCCTTACACTCAATGCTACTCGCTGCCCAACCTGAGTACGGAATGCCCTCAGGACCTGCAGATGCGTCCTTCTTGCGACGGAGAAAGCCAAGCACATCTGAGAGAGTTACAATCCAATTGGTACCTGGAGAGACTTTCTGGCACTGAGCTAGCCGCGTATCTGAGATATGCGGGTGCACGTTTGGCACATCAGCGGCGGTATGTACCCGGCCCCAGTGGTCAGCTAGTCGGGCGGCGCTGTCCTCTAGACTGGCGGGCGCGCGCCCTTGGTTGTCCAGGATGCCTACGAGCGATATGCGCCTATGCTTGGGTGACAATGCCTTCAAAAGCTCGTGCAGCTTAACTGTGCGCTCGTCGTCATACTGGCACCCTGGGGACTGCTCGTGCTCCCGAAATTCAAGGACCAAGATGCGCTCTCGTATGATGCGGATGTGCTCGTGGAACCTCGCCTGATCTACGATGTGCTCGTGCTGTTATTCTGTGAACTGTGCGATCTGGTCGCGCGCCGGTGCACTTGCGCATGTTATGGCTCTGCCCGTTCGAATTGGCACGCATGCATTTCAAACAGGCCATGAGACGATGAGTGCCCGTTTGTACACTATAGCGGCATATGCGTGACTTAATCACAGTAGTCGCTATGTGCATGCACTCTCTGATCTCTTCTAAGGCGAGGAGGGGGTCCGTGGAGAGGTCAATCTGGGCCCGTGCTTCATCAACTAGCTGTGCAGATTCAGGATGCGCGGTCACCCACGGCGGTATACTGACCTGGGACCAAAGCCCGGGGGAAAAGCGAACGAAGACAGGAACGTGATCACTTGGCTCGCTAGCTTTCAAGACGTGTCCGACGATTCCAGCAGTAGGCTTGGCCTCCAAAACAGTAGCAGTGTCAGCAAAAGTATACATGCGATCAATACGTCCCAGAGGCTGAATACCTTCCCCAAGATCCCCAGTCCTATGCGTGGGCTCGTCTTGCGCCAGCTCGAGCGAGTTCGGGAAGAGCTCTCGAAAGCGTCGAAGGAGAGCAGGGCGCTCAGGACGCTGGTGCGCACCATCAGTCCTGACTCGGGTCTCTCCTGACCAAAGGAAGATAAGGCGCCTGCCAGGAAAGTCAAACACGAGCTACTGCGGGGGGGGGTCTCGGCAACTTTTTCGAGCACAGAAAACTTGCAAGCATCATTGAGAGTGGGATCGAGGTGGATATTGTACACTGTGAGATCACTCTGGGGTCCTTGGGGAGAAAGAGAGAGGAGACGGCCGCGAACATGCTCGCAAGACTCCACATTCGTGGAAGTGGTAAGGGAGGAGTTGGCCACGCTTATCGTAGCTGCACCCGCATTCGGATTCTCGCAAAACGCGCCGAAGTGCGTGTGCGTGGGATAATCTCTGCGCAAAGCCTCGAGGCCAGCATCTGTTCCATGAGTTTCTTGCATGAGTATGATAGTATGTGCATTGATTAAAGTGCGGAACTTGCGAATCCGATTTCTCTGCAGAGTGGGATCTCCATACACACTTCCAAAGAAGGCTCTTGAATTCCACGTGCTTAGCGCCACATGCTGCTTTATCTGCCAGGGACATTCAAGAAGAATGTCTGCACTGCTGCCAGAGGGGGTGGAGGATCAGAGCTGCTCTTAAATCGCTTCCCAAGACTGCGAACGAAGGAAGGGGCGAGAGGAGAATAATCATCAGTATGAGCAATAACGGATGCGGCATCGGCGGCAGCTTCAGCAGAGCATGGCGCGCCTAACTCCTACTCGTGGTAGGCGCTGTTGACCGCGGCGGGCAGATCCTGGACCTGCTGCTCGGTGAGGCCGAAGTCGCGCAGCTCCTGGGCGCACGTCTCGACCACAACCTCGGATTCGGTCCACGACGAGAGCATCACCAGGTCGATCGGTTCGTCACGCGCGGTGGTGTAGCATAATCCCTGATACTTGTTACAGGCGAGCACCGTCGAAGGCGTCCAGCGGCCGTTGGTGCGCATGTAGGCGCAGATCTGCTTCCAGATGAGCCCGAGAATGTAGCCCTTCTTCTTAATGTCATAAAGTTCGTCGAAGCCGATGCGCAGATCGTGTTGCGTGCCAGTTGAGGCTTGAGTGAACTTGATGGGATGGTCACGTGCCCGCTCGTAGAAAGACCTCGCGTGCTCCTGCGACTCGAACTTGATAGCATAGGCAAAGCGTAAGCTCTTACAGTGTGGTAAACATTTATCTCGATACTCATCAGGCATGTTTGTTTTGAGGATGGCAAAATGACGTTCGAAAACAATGTTCAGCTGCTTCTTCGGAAATCCACGTATCCAAATCTTCGTCTTGTCAGCAGGCACCGTGGGTCGCACCGACGATGGAGCCGTGGATGGTGGAGCAGGATGATGGTGATGGTGATGATGATGATGCTGATGATGCTGATGATGATGATGATGATGAATGACATGATGATGAGGATGAGGATGAGGATGGTGATGCTGATGATGATGATGAGGAGGAGGAGGAGGACCTCCTCCCCCTCCAACTTATGGTGTTGGTGGAGAAAACCAGGCCCATCATCTCCTCCTCCTCCCGCGGCCCGCCGCACTCCCAATTGTAGGCGATCTTGCTCATCTGATGGGGCAGCTGCAGGTTGAGTATGCTCTCGACCTCCCGGGGGGAGGGATGCGAGGGGCTGCTGGCGCCCCACGGGGGGCGCCCTTCACGCGTCAGCGCCTCGCCTGCTCTGAGGCGCGCCTTCTCGCGCCAGTGGAAGACGGGAAGAGGGCGAAGGAGGGCGTGGGGGGGATCTGCTGCCCAGGGCAGTGCTGATGACACTGCGACTCCGAATCCGCGAGTGCTAAGCAGCGGTGCTGGCGGCCCTTGAAAGCGGCGATGCTGATCTTTGTGGATGCCATGGCAATGGACACTCTAACAGCTCTGTCGTTGACTTGAGAGTGGTTTCGAATGCTTTACGCATGTCTTCAACATGTGTTTAAACATTGCCGACATGTTTCAAACCATGCTTTAAACATCTGGAACGTATTGTAATGGCCCCCAGCCAGTGCCGCCGATCCAGGGGGCTTCGGATTCGGAGATCTTCACGGCTCCGTGGCCTCCGCCCTCCTCGATTCTTCCGGTCCTCTTTCTTCTGCTCTGGGGGGGTGCCTGGAGCGGTCCCAAGGGGGGGTCCGGGGAGGGTTCCCCGAGGGGAGGGTCCTGGGGGCGGTAGCGGCTAAATCTGAGGGGGGTCCCTGGGACCCCCCGAGACATCTTGGGGATGCGCAACGCATTAAGAAAACGCAGATGGGGGACCGCCCCCCCCCCTCTCCCTCCCCTCCCGCCTTCCCCGGGGGGGGGTCCGATGCGCAAATCATAAAGTAAACACCAGATGGGGGCACCCCCCTCCCCCTCCCCCCCTTCCCCGGCAGAGCCACCGCGGCGACCCCCCCAAGCAGAGCTGAAGCTCTTGCTTAGGCTCAGAGCTGAAACTCTTGCTGAGGCTCCTTGTAATTCACACACCGGTTCGGCGGATTTGGAAACACATTGAAATATACCCAGGCTGACCGAAGTATACATACTTGTGTCTGAGTTGTCAGCTATGATTTCAGCCACGTACTGTTCAGATGTGTCTGGACAAACAAGACTGGCTATCGTGAAACAGTGCGCTCGCTCGCAACAAAACACGAATACAAGGGCAAATGCCGCTGAAAATGGTGACAGTGCCGACGCGAATGTTTATGACAATAGTAACCCGACCTAGAATGATAGGTCCGATGCCAACTCGCACGAGCAACGCAACGAATGTTATAAATACTTGGAAACGTGGCGTTTGCCAATGCAAGAGCCGATGCTCACGCAGCTTTTCCCGATGCAGTATCTAGCTCTGGGAAAGGCGGCGGAGAAACAAACTCGATCGTCACATCCCTTCTGATAAAAAAAACTAGACCTCCGATGTCATGTCTGCTTCGACGAGTTGGCAACACACCTCTCCATTATTCTTCCAGAAGGCCGACTTGCCGTCCCGGAGCCAATGGTCATGATCCAGGGTTCACGAAACGCCTCCCAGGGGCCTGCACATGGGAAAACCTCCGTCTGGATTATTGACCGTGTCAAAGCGTTGGAGGTCTGGGACGAGAGCCCCCCCCCGCTGACATGTCCTGCGGGTGCCTTGCGGCCAGAATGTTGGAGGCGGGTCCAGCCGTAGCGCCAGGGGCGGCCTGGGCGATCCAAGACAGCCAGAGAGAAGGGAAATAAAACCTGGATGGGGGGAACCACACAATGCCGATACCGCTACTCCCCAGACCTCTCCTGGGGCGCGTTCTGGCCAGGACCTCGAGGCGAATCCAGCGGTGGCGACGAGGGCCGCCCAGGAGGCCCCAAAAAGGTAAAACGCTGGGGAGGGTAGAGGTATGGGTGCCTTTTCCTCTTCTGACTAGATCCCTGATCCTGGTGACGCAACGCAGCCACACGAGGCGCCCCGAGGGCCGCGGCGCACCTTCCCCACCAAGGGCCGGGGCCCACACGAACAACCAAGCAGACCCTCAGGAGGCCAAAACACAACCCGAGAGGACAAAAAGCTACAGACTTCGGACGAGGTGTTTGTTTGGTTTTTTTGTCAGTTTAGCCCGGCCCCTGCCCCTCAGATTGAGCAGGGCGGTCTTAGGTATTAGGGGCTTCTGTCAGCGGAATAAACAAAACGGATAATGGGGATATGTGCTGAAGAGGTGAAGAGGGATGATGATGATGAGGGGGAGGAGAAAGAGGGCGACGAGGAGGAGGGGGAGGACGAGAAGGAGGGGGAGGAGGAGGAGGAGGAGATTGAGGAGGAGGAGGAGGAGGAGGAGGACGACGATAGGAGGATGAGGATGAGGATGAGGATGAGGAGTAGGAGGAGGGCGAGGAGGAGGGGGAGGAGGAGGAGGAGGAAAAGGAGAAGGAGGAGGAGAAGGAGGAGTAGAAGGAGGAGGAGGACGAGGAGGAGGAGGAGGAGGAGGAGGAGGAGGAGGAAGGGGAGGAGGAGGAGGAAGACGAGGACGAGGACGAGGACGAGGAGGAGGATGAGGACAGGACAGGCCATCCGCATAAAAGGGGTCAGCGTCAACACACCTAGGCTGGTGCCTTGTGCGCGCCTGCAAAATCCCCTGCGATTTGGTTGTGCAACAGCCAAGACGTCTCAGTAGGGCCAGCTGGGGTCATACATCGAAGCTTCAAGGGGTGATTTCCGAAGTGGCCCTGGGGAAAGGGCTCGCTACCTGATAAGGAACGCGCTGGGCGAGCAGGGCTCCCAAACTAGGGGGACGTGCCGACGACGCGACCAGTCAAAAAGAGAGGATGGAGAGAAACAAGAGGCCCTGCTTTCTAAACTTCTGCCGGGGGATCCCAATTATCCTGTTCAATCCTGTTCTCTCCTCTCTCTTTCTCTCGGCTCTCTTCTCTTCCATAGTGAACTGGGCGATAGTTGCCCCATGCACTGTCGCGACTCACCGCGGTGCCCTGTTGAAGCACCGTACTGATCCCCCTGGATGTGCACGTAGGAAAGAGCATACGGGTACTCGCGGTATGTTGGGGATGGGGCCCTCGTGGATGCTTTCTGGTGGCCTTCGCGTTGATCACCTTTTCCCCGTTCCCCCCTGCACTAGTGTACCAGTCGGCGTTCCGAACAGTCACTTCCCAAGGCATTGGGAAATCTGTAAGATCGGACATAAGAACCGCGGGCTCTTTTCCACTGCGCAATCATATAACCCAAGCTGGCTACGGAACGAAACGCTGATGCGAATCGAAACGGCTGTGGCCAACATAGGCCTGCACGCAATCATTCGGCCTCAAGGGGCACAGAAACACAGCCCCAGACAAAGTCCCTGGCAACAGCTCTCATGCGAAAGCAAACGAAATATAGATCAAGCAGATCTGAAATTCGCCAGCGTGCGAAATAACAAGACATGTAAATAAGGCTGGTGCTGATATTCGCCACTGCGCGAACAAGGAAAACAAATGAAACAACACCGATATGAAACCGCAACAACCGTCTATACCGAAAACTTTGCCGGCGTAACAGCACATCCGGTCGACTGCCTATTGAGCTGTTCTCGCTTGCGCGGCCAAAGAACAAACCCACGCTTAGCCTTCTCGGCAACTCGCTTCTGCAAATCACCCTGATCATCAAATGGACGGCATCGCCCTGTACGCACCCATCTGCTTAAAACTGCATGGTTGGGCGATCTCTGTGTAAAAGCATCTGCCTGCATACAATGATGCTGAACCCATCTGGCCCTGCAACCAAGAGCTCGCATGAAATGCCGTCAAATACGCGGCTCGAACGCAACCCTGCGATCATTGCCCCCTGTCGTCTCCTTCGCAAGACTGTCAAACAGCATTCGGCGTCAACAGCGCTCACAATACTCGGATCCACCGAAATCGCGCTGTCACTCTTGAGCACTGCAACTGCTGGATCCACACGCTCTGGAATTGCAGTCCCTCGCCTTGAAACCGCATCAAAATCACTCCGCACCGTCTCCTGCATGGAGGCCACACCCATTCGGCCTCGGCCAACGCATCACTGAAACTATTCCTCCCCGCCGCCGCGGTGCTGCCCACGACGCGCTTGATCCTGTGACTCACCCAGCTGATGATGCTGAACGGTGCCTCCCAATTACCAGTGAGTGCCTTCGTGGTCATGCCCACTGGGAATCCACCCTGCGAAGCTCCCGTCTCCTTATCCGCGTCGCAACTGCCGCCGCTGACACTGGCGACCCTGGCCTCGTCCAGCGGGCTTGGTACGATACGTGGACAAAGAGCTGCATCTGTCTTAATTGGTCGGGCTGCGGAGTTGGCGTCGGGAATATCCTTCGTCGCGGCACCACAAAATGCACTGTAAAAATGAAGCAGTTGAAGCCTCGCCCGGCCTCGCCTGTCTGGCAACCCAAGCAATGCCACCAATGACTGCGCGAAGTTGGCCCCTCTCCATCTGATGGCGCAGCCTTCGGGTCTGCAAGTCGCCCTCGCTCGACCTCGATCGGGTTGAGTTTCTCGGTGATATATCGCCCCATGTCGATGCGAAAACCAAAATTCTTTCTGTCGAGAAGAACACCTCCCTGCGAAAGAATGCGGCCCATCTCGTTATAGGTTGTGCCAGACCAAACTTGGTCGTGCCCTTGAGCTGCTTCATATTGTCAATGTGTTTCTCGTTGCCTCTTGACAGTGGGTCGTCAAGCTCTAAAACCGCAATGCCCTGCACAATGTAGCCGTCTCTGTCGTTGTGCTGGTTTTCGTTGGAGAGACACAACAATCGCGGATCGCATAGGCTCATGCGATAGTCGAGCCTGCTAAGCCTGTCGACCATCCTACTGAACCAGGCGGCCATGTCACTGACAAGCCCATATTTTTCTCAATCCAAAGGCATGAGACTTCGGGGCGGTACTCCAAGTTACTCCAGGTATCCGCCAGGTGGTGGCTCGGCGTAATATGTTTTGGTCCTCTTGCCAGGGTCCCCTTGCATGAATGCAGTAGTGACGTCACCGACGTTGGCCCCGAACCTGCTCGACGACGTCGCCTGCGTGGCGATGTGTAAGGTAACCAGTTGCGATGTTGGACAACTCCGCTCGATCCCCAAGACATCGGAGTCCTTGCAACCATGCGCCACCCATCTTGCCTCGGCTGCCGCACCCTGC